AACCTAGCGGCCTCCTCTGCTAACCGGCTGAACCGCTCTATCGCGGCCTCCTGCTGCCTCGTCGTCCACGGCGTGAGCCCCCCCCTAAAATTGTTTTGGGCTTGTCTCTCCCCCGTGCTCATGGCCTCCATCCCTCTTGCCAGACTCTCACTCAACTCCTCCCAAGTCCATCCTCTCTCCTCGTCACGCTGCTTGATCCAGTCATGGTGTGATCTTCTGTCACGATCGTTACACGATGAAGAAGCGGACCAAGGCGCAGCGCGATAAGCGTACATCTTTATTACTTGTACACACAACGAACCAAAACAATTAACGATATGTGAAGTCCTAGGTTAAAGACACAAACCTTCCGGAACAAGATCCCACAAATAACTAGTGCCAACAGGCTGCCTAAGTATCGTCCCCTAATCAGAGACAACGAGAATCAGCTGCCTCTGATTGGGAACCACCCTGGCCAACATAGAAAACACGAACTAGAACACAACATAGAAAATCACACATAGAAAATCCACACCCTGGCTCAACATATAAGAGTCCCCAGAGCCAGGGCGTGACAGCTGCACTTCCCCGGAGTCACGTGTATCCTCTGTCACAGGCGGAGAAGGCGGCTATGGAAACATATGTCTCCGAATCGCTGAGACAGGGATCCATTCGACCTTCCACTTCACCTGTTTCCTCAAGTTTCTTTTTCGTGAAGAAGAAGGATGGTGGGTTACGCCCGTGCATTGATTACCGTGGGCTTAATCAGATCACTGTCAAGTACAGCTATCCCTTACCTCTGATAGCATGTATGACGGAATCACTGCACGGAGCGCGCTTCTTCACGAAATTGGATCTCAGGAGCGCGTACAATCTGGTGTGTATTCGGGAGGGAGATGAGTGGAAGACGACTTTCAGCACTACCTCAGGACACTATGAGTACCTCGTCATGCCATACGGATTGATGAATGCTCCATCAGTCTTCCAAGCCTTCGTCGATTAGATTTTCAGGGATCTGCACGGACAGGGTGTAGTGGTGTATATTGATGACATCCTCATATACTCCGCTACACGGGCCGAGCATGTGTCCCTGGTGCATAAGGTACTTGGACGACTGTTGAAGCATGACCTGAATGCCAAGGTGGAGAAATGCTTGTTCTTTCAGGAGTCCATCTCCTTCCTAGGGTACCACATGTCCGCGTCTGGGGTGAAAATGTAGAGTGACCGCATTTCGGCCGTGCGTAATTGGCCGACTCCAACCACGGTGAAGGAGGTGCTGCAATTTTTGGGATTTGCCAATTACTACCGGAGGTTTATCCGGGGCTTTGGTCAGGTAGCGGCTCCCATTACCTCATTGCTGAAGGGGGGACCAGTGCATTTGCGGTGGTCAGCTGAGGCGGACAGGGCTTTCAATCGTCTGAAGAGCCTGTTTACCTCGGCTCCAGTGCTGGCTCTTCCGGATCCCTCCTTGTCCTTCACGGTTGAGGTGGACACTTCGGAAGCTGGGATAGGTGCTGTACTTTCCCAGCGCTCGGGCACACCACACAAGCTCCGCCCCTGTGCGTTCTTTTCTAAGAAGCTCAGTCCGGCGGAGCGCAACTATGATGTGGGGGACCGAGAGCTGTTGGCCGTGGTCCAAGCCCTGAAAATGTGGAGACATTGGCTTGAGGGGGCTAACCACCCTTTTCTCATTTTAACTGACCACCGCAATCTGGAGTACATCAGAGCGGTGAAGAGATTAAACCCTCGCCAGGCAAGGTGGTCAATGTTTCTCACCCCTTTTTGTTTCACCCTTTCGTACAGGCCAGGCTCCCAGAATGCTAAGGCAGATGCTCTGTCCCGACTGTATGACATGGAGGAGAGTTCCGTGGAGCCCACTCCCATACTTCCGGCGTCGTGTCTGGTGGCACCGGTGGTGTGGAAAGTGGACGCGGACATCGAGTGGGCGTTGCGTAACGAACCCACTCCTCCCCAGTGTCCAGAGGGTCGTGTGTACGTCCCGCTGGAGGTCCGCAATTGGTTGATCTATTGGGCTCACACGTCACCCTCCTCTGGTCATCCTGGTATCGGTCAGACAGTGCATTGTCTTAGTGGGAAGTACTGGTGGCCCACCTAAGCTAAGGACGTGAGGGTTTATGTTTCTTCCTGCTCGGTGTGCATCCAGTGTAAGGCTCCTAGACACCTGCCCAGAGGGAAATTGCAACTCCTACCCGTTCCACAATGACCGTGGTCCCACCTATCGGTGGATTTCGTGACGGATCTTCCTCCCTCACAAGGGAATACCACGATCCTGGTCGTTGTGGATCGGTTTTCGAAGTCCTGCTGCCTCATTCCTCTGCCCGGTCTCCCTACGGCCCTACAGACTGCTCAGGCCCTATTTACACACGTCTTTCGGCACTATGGGATACCTGAGGATATAGTGTCTGATCGGGGTTCCCAGTTCACCTTGAGGGTTTGGAGGGCGTTCATGGAACGTCTGGGAGTCTCGGTCAGCCTTACCTCAGGGTTTCACCCCGAAAGTAACGGGCAGGTGGAGAGAGTCAACCAGGAGGTGGGTAGGTTTCTGAGGTTGTATTGCCAGGACCGGCGGGGGGAGTGGTCGGCGTTCCTCCCCTGGGCAGAGATAGCCCAAAACTCACTCCGCCACTCCTCCACTAACCTTACTCCATTCCAGTGTGTATTAGGTTATCAGCCGGTTCTGGCACCTTGGCATCAGAGCCAGATCGAGGCACCTGCGGTGGATGAATGGTGTCTGCGCTCGCAGGAGACCTGGAACGCTGCCCATGTGCGCCTGCAGCGGACCATCGGGCGGCAGAAGGCGAGCGCAGAAGGTGAGGCTCCGGTGTATGCACCGGGGGACCGGGTCTGGCTCTCGACCCGAAACCTGCACCTTCGCCTGCCCTGCCGGAAGCTGGGTCGGCAGTTTGTGGGGCCTTTCAAAGTCCTGAGGAGATTGAACGAGGTATGTTATAGGTTACAGCTTCCTCCTGAGTATCGTATTAACCCCTCGTTCCATGTGTCTCTCCTCAGGCCGGTGGTAGCTGGTCCACTCCAGGATGGTAATCCATGTTTCCGTCAGCGCCAAGAAGTCGAGGGACTGGAGGGTAGCATAGGCTGAGATGAACTCTGCCTTGTTGGCCTCAGAATGGCAGTTCCAGAGGCTCCCAGAGACCTGGAACTCCACGTGGGTCGTGCGCGCAGGGACCACCAGATTAGAGTGGCAACAGCCATGTGGTGTGAAGCGTTTGTATGGCCTGTGCAGAGAGGAGAGAACAGGGATAGACAGACACATAGTTGACAGGTTACAGAAAAAGGCTACAATAATGCAAAGGAGATCGGAATGAAATGAACTAAACATCTGGGAAAGCGAGAGAGCGGGGCCTCCCTCACTTACGTTTCACTGAAACACTCAAATATAACTCTCCCAACTTCCACTTTAGAAATTATAATTGTTGTAAACTACAGCGGTTCAATGTTTTCTAGGAATAGACTCTAACTTAGTTTATTCAGCTAGCCAACAGAACATGTTACCAAACAGAACATGTCTCAAGTCATCATACAGAGGGAAATAAAACACAAAATGGGCTTGACTTTCTATTAACCCAAGATCACACAATACACACATCTTTCCTCTTGAGGGACTCTGTTGAATCTACCCATCTCAAGTGCCAGAGGGATCTTAGCTGCTCACAAACTGACCAATACATTACATATTAATATGAGTTTATTTTATTATATGTGTTACATGTATCCTTGTCTTGTCCTTGTAATCAGTGATGAAGCAAGAGGTGATTAAACAATTTCTCAAATTGGGATCAATAAAGTAATACTCTACTCTCCTCTGGCCTACTCTAGTCTACTCTACTAATATAGTCCTATTATTACATTGGATTAACATCATATTCACATATGTTTTCTCATAAGATTTTTTTTATAAAATGCTTTATTCCAAAAGATGTATAGGTTTGTAGGCTAAATAAGATTGAGTGCTGTAATGTCGCATTTCTCAACCATAAAAATAGTTACAACCGGATGTAGTAACTCCAGTGCCAAAATAAGTAGCCAATAGCTTCCGGTCTATCATTCTAACCCCGGCGTGAGGGGGAACTGTGTCTCTTGTTCTTATAAGGATACATCTTTGAAATAGTTTCTCAAAGGTAAGTTCCGCGTTCTCTCTTGACAATGTAAAATGTTGTTCTGTCAATATCCTATATTTTTATTCAATTGACTGTGAGAATCAGCTCCTCAGTGCGTAAGGTCAGAATCGTTCAGAGGCTACTGTAGCAAGCTAACTAACGGTAGCTCGCAAGCTAGTCTAACCTTAAGTCATTTTTTAAAACTCGTAGCTACTAGCCAATCAAAGGGAACAATGTTCATGATACTGGTTTTGCTATTCTAGTGTCTAGCTAATTGTGAACTCACTTTTATCGTACAGTCTACACGGACAACAGCAGCTAACGTTTGCTAGCTAAATTGCTAAGGGGTGTTCTGCTTGACGAGTGCTAACGTAAACTATATAGCTAGCTAACGTTAGTTCAGTATCTTTGGTGTATCTTATGTGTTGCTCTGGTCTGACAAGGCTGACTAAACTCAACTCACGATTTCGAGTTGAGTTTAATCAGCTAGGCTGCATGCAGACTAGACAGGCGTAACATAGATACTGTTAGCTAGTTAGCAAATTAACTTGATGACTTGCTGCTAGCTAGTAGTGACAATAAACGGTATACTGACCACCGAATCTACAGCAGCAAATGACCATTCAGTGACACCAGTCTCATCTCTCATCTAATCACCCAAAATGGTTATCTAGCTAAATATGCCAAATCATATCACATAGTTAAGTTACTGTTCAGGATTATTATAGCCTAACTTGGTCCATGTTGTCCCTCTGCTTCACCAGTGGCAGATGCCTAGGTGACGGTGTTCGAAAATCAAAGCTAATACTTTCTTTTGCATAATGATGAGTACCTATTCTATTGAAAGCCACAAATAAACGTCCTCCTGTCTCTCTCTCCTCACAGGAGTCCTCCCCTCTCCATGTGCATCCCTAATGGGCGGCTGGACTCGTAGTGCGGTGCTGGAGCTGTACCGAGCACTGCTCCGTGCAGGGCGCCACCTTCAGTACACAGACCGCAACTACTACCGGTGCGCAGTGGCCCGTGAGTTCCGCCGCTGCCAGGCCCTGACCGTGCCGAGCGACAAGGAGGACGCGCTGAAGAGGGGCCAGTTCTTCCTCAGCAGTAGACTGGGGGGATTGATGTAGGTGTCGGTCAACCATCCAACACCACCTTTAGCAAGACGTGCTTGTGTCAGACCACTAACAGGTAAACTATTAAGCTATTTAAATGACCACCTATCCTATCGCTCTTTATAAGTTCATAATAAATGTTTTGATAATAAAAGGTACACAGTCCTTGAGTTATGGTAATAGAACGTAAGACTCCTCACATCTGAATCAGTACTTTCTTTGTTCTTCTCTCATTACTTTTCCCTTCTAACTCTACGTTCACCTAGACAGAATGGCGGGAGTGAACGGTGAGCGTAAAGGAAAGAAGGATGACAACGGGATGGGCACAGCCGTTGACTTTTTGCTATCTAATGCCAAGCTTGTTCTTGGGGTCGGAGGAGCTGCCATGCTTGGCATTGCAACACTAGCAGTCAAAAGAGTAAGTGGGATATTCTCTAAGTTAGATCATAGCAATTATATTCTTGAAAGAATTCAATCCCCTTGACTTTTTCCACATTTTGTTACGCTACAGCCTTATTCTAAAATTGATTAAATAAAACAATTTCCTCATCAATCTACACACAATACCCCATAATGACAAATGTTTTAATACTTTTTTGCAAATGTATTAAAAAACTAAACCAGAAATACCTTTACATAAGTATTCAGACCATTTGCTATGAGACTCGAAATTGAGCTCAGGTGCATCCTGTTTCCATTGATCATCCTTGAGATATTTCTACAACTTGATTGGAGTCCACCTGTGGTAAATTCTATTGAAAGCCTCTGTAGCTCAACTGGTAGAGCACGGCGCTTGTAACGCCAAGGTAGCGGGTTCGATCCCCGGGACCACCCATACACAAAAATGTATGCACGCATCACTGTAAGTCGCTTTGGATAAAAGCGTCTGCTAAATGGCATATTATTATTATTATTATTATTATTTTATTATTATAAATTCAATTGATTGGACATGATTTGGAAAGGCACACAGCTGTCTATATAAGGTCCCACAGTTGACAGTGCATGTCAGAGCAAAAACCAAGCCATGAGGTCGACGGAATTGTCTGTAGAGCTCCGAGAGGATTGTGCCGAGGCACAGATCTGGGGAAGGGTACCAAAACATTTCTACAGCATTGAAGGTCCCCAAGAACACAGTGGCCTCCATTATTCTTGGAACCACCAAGACTCTTCCTACAGCTGGCCGCCTGGCCAAACTGAGCAATCGGGGGAGAAGGGCCTTGGTCAGGGAGGTGACTAAGAACCTGATGATCACTGACAAGCTCCAGAGTTCCTCTGTGAAGATGGGATAATCTTCCAGAAGAACAACCATCTCTGCAGCACTCCACCAATCAGGCCTTTATGGTAGTGGCCAGACGGAAGCCACTCCTCAGTAAAAGGCACGACAGCCGCTTGGAGTTTGCAAAAAGGCACTTAAAGACTCTCAGACCATGAGAAACAAGATTCTCTGGTCTGATGAAACTAAGATTGAACTCTTGGCCTGAACGCAAAGCGTCACATCTGGAGGAAACCTGGCACCATCCCTACGGTGAAGCATGGTGGTGGCAGCACATGCTGTGGGGATGTTTTTCAGCGGCAGGGACTGAGAGACTAGTCAGGATCGGGGGAAAGATGTACATAGAGATCCTTGATGAAAACCTGCTCCAGAGTGCTCAGGACCTCAGACTGGGGCTAATGTTCACCTTCCAACAGGACAACAACCCTAAGCACACAGCCAAGACAGCGCAGGAGTGGCTTCGGGACAAGTCTCTGAATGTCCTTGAGTGGCCCAGCCAAAGCCTGGACTTGAACCTGATTGAACATCTCTGGAGAGACCCGAAAATTGCTGTGCAGCGACGCTCCCCGTCCAACCTGACAGAGCTTAAGAGAATCTGCAGAGATGAATGGGAGAAACTCCCCAAATACAGGTGTGCCAAGCTTGTAGCATCATACCCAAGAAGACTCGAGACTGTAATCGCTGCCAAAGGTGCTTGAACAATGTACTGAGTAAAGGTTCTGAATACTTACAGTACCAGTCTAAAGTTTGGACACAGCTACTCATTCAAGGGTTTTCCTTATTTTTATTATTTTCTACATTGTAGAATAATAGTGAAGACATCAAAACAATGAAATAACACATATGGAATCATGTAGTAACCAAAAAAGTGTTAAACTAATCAAAATATATTTGAAATTCTTCAAATAGCCACCCTTTGCCTTGATGACAGATCGGCACACTCTTGGCATTCTCTCAACCAGCTTCATGAGGTAGTCACCTGGAATGCATTTCAATTAACAGGTGTGCCTTGTTAAAAGTTAATTTGTGGAATTTATTTCCTTCTGAATGCGTTTGAGCCAATCAGTTGTGTTGTGACAAGGTAGGGGGGTATACAGAAGAGAGCCCTATTTGGTAAAATTATGTCAAGAACAGCTCAAATAAGCAAAGAGAAACAACAGTCCATCATTACTTTAAGACATGAAGGTCAACATCAACTGTTCAGAGGGGACTTTGTGAATCAGGCCTTCATGGTCGAATTGCTGCAAAGAAACCAATACTAAAGGACACCAATAATAAGAAGAGAACTGCTTGGGCCAAGAAACACAAGCAATGGACATTAGACCGGTGGAAATGTGTCCTTTGGTCTGGAGTCCAAATTGGAGATTTTTTGTTCCAACCGCCTTGTCTTTGTGAGACGTGGTGTGGGTGAACGGATCTCTGCATGTGTAGTTCCCACCGTAAAGCCTGGAGGAGGAGGTGTGATGGTGTTGGGGTGCTTTGCTGGTGACACTTTCTGTGAATTATTTAGAATTCAAGGCACACTTAATCAGCATGGCTACCACAGCATTCTGCAGCGATACGCCATCCCATCTGTTTTGGGCTTAGTTGGACTATCATTTGGTTTTCAACAGACAATGACCCAACACACCCCCAGGCTGAGTAAGGGCTATTTTACCCAGAAGGAGAGTGATTGGGTGCTGCATCAGATGACCTGGCCTCCACAATCCCCCGACCTCAACCCAATTGAGATGGTTTGGGATGAGTCGGACGGCAGAGTGAAGGAAAAGCAGCCAACAAGTGCTCAGCATATGTGGGAACTCCTTCAAGACTGTTGGAAAAGCATTCCAGGTGAAGCTGGTTGAGAGAATGCCAAGAGTGTGCAAAGCTGTCATCAAGGCAAAGGGTGGCTATTTGAAGAATCTCAAATATAAAATAATTTACTACATGATTCCAGATGTGTTATTTCATAGTTTTGATGTCTTCACTATTATTCTACAATGTAAAAAATAAAGAAAAACCCTTGAATGAGTAGGTGTGTCCAAACTTTTGACTGGTAGTGTATGTAAATGTAACTTCAGTTTTTTTTATACATTGGCAAGAAATTATAAAACCCGTTTGGCTTTTTCATTATGGGATATTGTGTGTAGATGAGTGGGGAAAAAAACAATTTAATTAATTTTAGAATAAGGCTGTAATGTAACAATGTGGAAAAAGTAAAGGGGTCTGAATACTTTCCGAATGCACTGTATGTACATTATTTGTCCATTGTGCCAGTTCAGTTGTAGGCTAAATGTGATCACCTCTCACTATTTGGCTTCTGATCTCTATATCAGTAATTGTACTGTTTTTAACCACGAGTGGAAAACATGACCATTTCATGAAACATTCTAATGGACAATAAAGATGTTCAATTCAATCTCCTTTCAGATGTATGACCGTGCCATAAGTGCTCCGACCAGCCCTACTAAGATGGAACCATCAGGGAAAAGGAGCTGGGAGGAACCCAGCTGGATGGGCTCGACACCACGGGTACTTAACCATGACATGAAGTCAACAGTGAGCAGGTCACTGCAGACTCTACCCACCTCCAACTCCTTTGAACCAGGTAAGGTACACTAATGTATTTAGGGTGTCACACACGATAATGTTATTCCGCATTACAACTATTAAACATTGCTCATATAAGAGTTATGATCGTGCCGTTAGCTCACCCCACAGTGTGAAACGTTGCCAATAGCGCTGCTGAATTGTTACTTTTTCGGTGGAGCGACTGGTTAGTACGTTGTCAAGCAGGGCGGTTACGTGTGTTGGCAAGGCAGAGGATGCGAGATCAAGTACCGGTAAGGACTGGTGAGCTAGGAAGCTATACTGCTAAGCAGTACACTCACACTCGCACACATTGCCTATCTGTGTTCAGAGTGAGGCCTGAGCAGTAACACTTGGGATTGATGGAGCAGGTTAGTAGTGTGTTTCAGATGGTTTGACCTCATCTCTGTGCAGTGTTTTCTAATCCTTGGCTGTGTCTATTGATGACAGGATGGCTGATGGCAGGATGGCTGTACTTCCTGTATTGTGGGTGATACCACTGACTCTTAGTGCTTGTTGTATGAAGCTATAGGGTCGTTCCATTTGATTTCAATCCGTTTTTGACCGCATCTCTTTTGATTTGAACTAAACTTTCCATACATATTTGGCCATGGTAGAAGTGATCAGAAAATGACTTTTTGGACCTGAATGCCAAAACATTCAGGAGATAGAGGTGCTCGAAGTTGACCCAATTTTGCATGCCATACCATGAGACGTCCATGGTATTCATCACTTGAAAAGATTAACGGTTAAGCTTGATATCATTTTAAAAGCTTGAAAACAGGGTTGTCAAGCTATATTTATTATTATTTTTTGGAAAAAAATTAATTTCAATTATCTAAAAACATAAACTCAGATTTATTTTAATTTTCGCATATGTTGTAGTTTTATACCGTAATGTACATAATCTGAGGTGTATGTGTTGTGCCTGCCATTGGTTGAGACACAGCATACTCTTGAATACATTTTTACATTTACATTTTAGTCATTTAGCAGACGCTCTTATCCAGAGCGACTTACAGGAGCAATTAGGGTTAAGTGCCTTGCTCAAGGGCACATCGACAGATTTTTCACCTAGTCGGCTCTGGGATTAGAACCAGCGACCTTTCGGTTACTGGCACAACGCTCTTAACCACTAAGCTACCTGCCGAATACAGGGTGGGTGTCTTTTTAATCATAGAAATATAATTCATAGAATGGACCTATCCCTTCAGACCACTGCAATTTAGCTGGTACACCATTTAAATTATTTTAATTGACATTTTACATTCCAATTACTACCACAAAGATGGCCGCTGGTCCACCCACTGTCGAATGTCAACTTAAATGGGAATGTATATTCTATTATCTATATTTATATGGTTTTAATAGGTTTCCTATGGAAGACATTGTAATTGACATTGTAATTTAAAACAACTGATATTCTCATTCAAGTCAATGTTCTCCAATCATCTTCGTGGTACAATTGGAAAGTTGAAATGTCAATGTTATTCCCATTTTAGTAAATGTATCAGCCAAAACATTACACCCACTCTGTATTCAAGTGCATGCTGTGTCTCAACCGATGGCAGTCTCAACATAAACCTGTAAAATAGGATCTAAGCTACAACATATGTGAAAATCTGAGGTTTTTTTATTTACTTTTTTGTTTTCAAGAAATTACCAAATAGTTTGACAATCCTGTTTGTAAGCTTTTAAATTATATCAAATTGAGCCATTTATCTTTTCAAGAGATAAAGACATATAGTGGCTGTCTCATGGTATGGTGGGGTATGCAACATGGAGGTGCCCAAAATGTGATACGTCTCCTGAATGTTTTGGCATTCAGGTCCAAAAAATCACTTTCTGATCACTTCTACCATGGGCAGATATGGAAAGTTTTGCTCAAATGAAAAATGGGGTGGTGAAAGCTATTGAAATCGATTGGAACGACTCTACAGTTTTGTTAGTAGAAACCCCACTAAATATACTCCGATGGCTAGTTTCAATTGAGCTCCATTAGATATTTGTTATAAAGTTTAAGAAAATACCTCAACCAAAGTCTGTGGTATTTTGGATGGTTCTCTTATGCCGGGTGTACACTACTCAACTTTCAAAGTCCTAACATCGCTCAGCCTCTCACATTTAACGACTGTCTTTCGTGTTTTTTTGTTTGTCTTCCCAACGTATTGGTGCTCGTTCTGAACGATATGGCACAAACGTAGGGGGGGGGGGGGTCACACACAAGATTCTTCACTTGGTCGTGAGGATTCTCAATACCACACTGTCTCGCAAAAATGAAACTTGTCTGATCTCAACTAAAAACATTGTGTAGTGTACGCCCGGCTTTAGTGTTTAGGATACTCTCTGTAGGAGAGGATAGTCCGTAAAGCAACCTCTCTCGTGGTACTTGTTCCCATTAGTTGGGTTTGATTTCCTGTTGTCACCCCATAAATATCCTTCTTACTTTCGTTCTTATTTACCTCCCATTACCTTTCAACATATTTGTTTGATTTATTTCATTAGTGTAGTGTCTTGCATCATCAGGATGCTCAGCCCACATGGGCTTATAAAACACTGTATATGCCAATTTTAGTATTATTTTACCCATACCTGCACATTCCTAACCTCTGCCTGTCGTGGCTGTATCCCCTCAGACTGCATGCGGAAGGCGATGGGGCGGGGACGTAGTGCTGCAGGGCAGACCGACCTCCTCCAGGCCAGGATGCGCCTCTCCTTACAGGAGAAACTGTGGGAGTTCTACCAGGAGCGAGTGGCCATCCCTGCTGAGGAGCAGGCCACAGCCCGCCGGGCCGCCCTGGACATCTGCGCTGAGCTGAGGATCTTCCTGCACGCCAAGCTGCCCGACATGCCGCTCCGAGAGATGTACCTCAGCGGCAGCCTCTACGACGACCTGCAGGTAATAAGAGGGTGGTAGTAGTAAACTTGATTATCTTTTTACTTCGGTGCCCGTCTCTGGGTTTGAAATGTTATGGTTTCATAAGAATAACATCAATGTGCTCTAACGCTCCCTCTCTGACTCTGTTTCTGACTCTCGCTCCCTCGCCCCCCCCCCCCCCCCCCCCCCCCACCCTTTCTCCCACTTTTTCTCAGGTGGTGACAGCAGATCACGCTCAGCTCATGGTCCCTCTGACCCTGGAGAAGAACCTGTGGTCGTCAGTCCCTGGCGAGGACACCATCATGAACATGCCGGGTTTCTGGCTGATTCGCAGGGAAAACCTGGAGTACTTCCCCCGAGGCAGCAGCTACTGGGACCGCTGCATGGTAGGAGGCTACCTCTCCCCCAAGTCTGTCCTGGAGGTGTTCGAGAAGCTGGTGGCGGGCTCCATCAACTGGCCGGCCATTGGCAGCGTTCTGGACTACGTGATCCGGCCGGTGGTTCCCTCTGAGACTCTCACACTGGAGGTCCAGTACGAGATGGACCGCCATCTTTACGTGGACTTCCTGCCTCTGCTGGTGATGGACGACGGTGCCTCGCTGATTGCCAAGCCACACAGGCTGGCCGCCGAGCGCCACGAAAACCTGTGGCGGCAGAGCTTCCGCGTGGCGGAGACGGCGCGCCTGCGGGCCCTGGACCAGGAGGACGGTGGCTGCCGCTGCGCCTGCCTCAAGGTGACTAAAGCAGTGTGCAAGCTGAACCCGGCCCTGGCGCGCCTGTCGGCCAGTCAGCTCACCAACGCCATACTGCTGCTGAGCGGGAAGGAGGGCGACTGGACCCAGGAGGCGCTGGCCGACCGCTTCCTGCAGCTGCTTCGCTCGCTAGTGGGACACCTAGAGGCCGGGAGGCTCCCCTGCGCCCTGGTCCCCAAAGTCAACTTGTTCTGTGAGCTGACGCCAGTGGAGGTGGATGAGCTAGGATACACCCTCTACTGTTCCCTCTCTGACCCAGAGGGACTCCTAAGGACTCCTGAGTCTGACTGAGTCTGGTCACGGGTTCTAGGGTTTAGGACGGATGGTATAGAATTCTAACTAAGGCTCCATAGAGTCCATACTGCAGAAGAGGATATTTAATTTATATGTGCTTCAGACATGGACCATGTCCCCTGTGACCACGTCGCTGTGTGATTGATTCAACATCACGTCTCTGGAGTCCCTGTTTCATCGATCAATACGTTTCTCTTGTACTTTTTTTTTGGCGTAATTATGTGTGATAAAGTAGAAATGCAAAATCAACATTTTTGACATGCAGGCCATATCTGCTGAACTCAAATACAGGATCATCCAAATACCAGTTAAACCTCAGATGATGAAACCAGTCTCTTCATATGGTGCAGGTAAGCTGTTATAAATAGTACTGTTCAGAAGGGTATACTACAAAGCATGATCAAGGAGTTAGCCAGCTAACTTGCCTAGATATCCTGAAATAACTGTAGAATAATGGGCTTGGTCTAATTGGCTTAACCAAAAACACATACAGTTGAAGTCAGAAGTTTACATACACCTTAGCCAAATACATTTAAACTCAGTTTTTCACAATTCCTGACATTTAATCCTGGTAAAAAAAATCCCTGTCTTAGGTCAGTTAGGATCACCACTTTATTTTAAGAATGTGAAATGTCAGAATAATAGTAGAGTGATTTATTTCAGCTTTTATTTCTTTCATCACATTCCCAGTGGGTCAGAAGTTTACATACACTCAATTAGTATTTGGTAGCATTGACTTGGGTGAAACGTTTTGGGTAGCCTTCCACAAGCTTCCCACAATAAGTTGGGTGAATTTTGGCCCATTCCTCCTGACAGAGCTAGTGTAACTGAGTCAGGTTTGTAGGCCTCCTTGCTCGCACACGCCTTTTCAGTTCTGCCCACAAATTTTCTATAGGATTGAGGTCAGGGCTTTGTGATGGCCACTCCAATACCTTGACTTTGTTGTCCTTAAGCCATTTTGCCACAACTTTGGAAGCATACTTTGGGTCATTGTCCATTTGGAAGACCCATTTGCAACCAAGCTTTAACTTCCTGACTGATGTCTTGAGATGTTGCTTCAATATATCCACATAATTTTCCTTCCTCATGATGCCATCTATTTTGTGAAGTGCATCAGTCCCTCCTGCAGCAAAGCACCCCCACAGCATGATGCTGCCACCCCCCCGTGCTTCACAGTTGTGATGGTGTTCTTGGGCTTGCAAGCAACCCCATTTTTCCTCCAAACATAACAATGGTCATTATGGCCAAACAGTTCTATTTTTGTTTCATCAGACCAGAGGACATTTCTCCAAAAAGTATGATCGTTGTCCCCATGTGCAGTTGCAAACCGGAGCCTGGCTTTTTTATGGCGGTTTTGGAGCAGTGGCTTCTTCTTTGCTGAGCGGCCTTTCCGGTTATGTCAATTTAGGACTTGTTTTACTGTGGATATAGATACTTTTGTACCTGTGTCCTCCAACATCTTCACAAGGTCATTTGCTGTTGTTCTGGGATTGATTTGCACTTTTCACACCAAAGTACGTTAATCTCTAGGAGACAGAACGCGTCTTCTTCCTGAGCGGTATGATGGCTGCGTGGTCCTGTGGTGTTTATACTTGCGTACTATTGTTTGTACAGATGAACGTGGTACCTTCAGGCGTTTGTAAATTGCTCCCAAGGATGAACCAGACTTGTGGAGGTCTACAAAAAATGTTTGAGGTCTTGGCTGATTTCTTTTGATTTTCCCATGATGTCAAGCAAAGCACTGAGTTTGAAGGGAGGCCTTGAAATACATCCACGGGTACACCTCCAATTGACTCAAATGATGTCAATTAGCCTATCAGAAGCTTCTAAAGCCATGACATTGTTTTCTGGAATTTTCCAAGCTGTTTAAAGGCATAGTCAACTTAGTGTATGTAAACTTCTGACCCACTGGAATTGTGAACAGTGAATTATAAGTGAAATAACCTGTCTGTAAACAATTGTTGGAAAATGACTTGTGTCAAGCACAAAGTAGATGTCCTAACCGACATGCCAAACCTATAGTTTGTTAACAAGATATTTGTGGTGTGGTTGAAAAACAAGTTTTAATGACTCCAACCTAAGTGTATGTAAACTTCCAACTTAAACTGTAAGTTTAGCTGTCTTAATGAACCAAAAAAATTGACAGTTATTTCTTGTTTATCAAAGTTGAACCTGCTTTGTAGTATACTTGGGTTAGGGCTCAGTGTTTGTTGAAGTGGTGATTGCTTCATTGGCTAATAATATGTAACCAATTTGGATTGAATGGTGTGGAATAAAGATGATATTTATTCATTCTAATTTGTGGGAATGGAAATTGGTCTATTTGAAAAATATTTTGGTTGCTCCATCCTCAGATTGCAGGTCTTTCAAACAGTGAGATTATGATGGGTAACATTAGTCTAATGCTAGTTAATATCATGTCTGAACAGGGGCATGAAAGAGAGCTCTTAGTAGTCAAATGAACAAGCAATAAATAATCGGTTCTAGCCATGCATTATTGGTCTCTACATATGTAGCTTACTATTTAGCTGAGACTTGGATGCAGGGTGCTTATTGCACTCTGACATGAGATGCCAGTTCAGATGGACAGATAGTTTGGTGACACCGTCAATACAGCCACCCCTAACAAGGTAAATTGCCTTAAGCACTGTTGTGGTCCACTAGGAAAGAAGACCAGTGATTGGGACATGGCAGGGGGTTGTAGTACTCTAGCACTTATAGTACTGTAGCCTGGTATCGTACGGTTTGTGCTATAGCCAACTCTTCTCATTGTGATGTATGGCATTGGCATGGCAAGGCTAGAAGAGTTATATGGGACCTGGCTACACTTTGCCTACTCTACCACTCAAACTGTGTAAATGGATAGAATGTAATGTTGACAATGTGAGCCGCCCTGAAAGCAAATAAATTGTGTTAAGACTGAAATCTTGACATTCTTGAGTTTAAAAAAGAACATGTTGGAGCAGTTATTTGCCCCACTGGGTTTTAAAAAAAAAAATGGTAAAGAGTTGACATTTTGGTTGAATTCCGTTCAAGTTGCAGTTATATTTCAGAAATTGTAGCAATCTTTGCAAGGGTGGAAGCACCCACTATAAGGCCTGAGGTAAAAATCACATAGAAACCTCGTATCTTCATGGTATTTAAGTTGCGGATGATATGTGTTTTCTAGGACTCCTCCCACAAGTTGTTGCCTGTTGAATTAAAGAATGAATGTTGAGAAATAACTATATACTTTTATGTTAGGAATGTGTGCTGTTTGCATGAGAAAATTAATCCTACATTGGGTTATTGTTACACACCCGTGTAGTGTCTGTTTATGACGTCAAATATGTCTTGTGACATTTTAAGATGAAATACTTGACCTATGTGTTCATTCATCGGTCTGTGTTATGTAAAACTGGTTGTTGCATACCTTGTATGAAACACATCTGCCATGACATTCTCCCACTCATAACACAAAATGGATGGTGTGCATTTGCAAATTAAACTTTGTGATAGTTGGGATGTTATGCTGAGAGCAAATTGATCAAAAACAGAGCAGCTCGGTTGCTGTGGAAAACTAACTTGTTTCCAGTTGAACATAAAGTATTTGGCATTCAGGTCTGATCTTGCTTCAGCAGCCCCTTCTGGTATAAAGGTAACTGTTTCTCAGTCATGATACAATCATGATACATTGCCTTCAGAAAGCATTCATACCGCTTGACTTCCACATTTTGTTGTGTTCCAGCCTGAATTCAAAATGGATTACAGTGCTATAAAAAAGTATTTGCCCCCTTTCTAATTTTCTCTACTTTTGCATATTTGTGATACTGAATGTTATCAGATCTTCAACCAAAACCTAATATTAGATAAAGGGAACATACGTGAACAAATAACACAACAATTACATACTTAATTCATTTATTTAGTATGTAATTGTGTTATTTGTTCACTTATGTTCCCTTTATCTAATATTAGGTTTTGGTTGAAGATCTGATAACATTCAGTATCACAAATATGCAAAAGTAGAGAAAATTAGAAAGGGGGAAAATACTTTTTCATAGCACTGTACATATATTTTGTTCTCACCCATTTACAGACAATACCCCATAAATGACAAAGTGAAAACATGTTTTTAGAAAAAGAAATTGGTGAATTTATTGAAAATGAAATACAGAAATATGTAATTTACATAAGTATTCACACCCCTTAGTCAATACATCTTAGAATCACTTGGCAGCGACTATAACTGTGAGTCTTTCTGGGTAAGTCACTAGGAGCTTTGCACAACTGGATTGTACAATATTTGGACATTCTTTTTTTAAATTCTTCAAGCTCTGTCAAGTTGGTTGTTGATCATTGCTAGACAGCCATTTTCAAGTCTTGCCATAGATTTCCAAGCCAATATAAGTCAAAACTAACTAGACCACTCCGTAACATTCGATGTCGTCTTGGTAAGCAACTCCAGTGTATATTTGGCTTTGTGTTTTAGGTTATTGTTCTGCTGAAAGGTGTATTTGTCTCCCAGTGTATGGTGGAAAGCAGACTGAACCAGGTTTTCCTCTAGGATTTTGCCTGTGCTTTGCTCTATTCCGTTTCTTTTTTATCCTAAATAAAACTCCCTAGTCCTTGCCAGTGACAAGCAGACCCATAACACGACGCAGCCACTACCATGCTTGAAAATATGAAGAGTGGTACTCGGCGACGTGTTGTTGGATTTGCGCCAAACATAACGCTTTGTATTCAGGACATCAAGGTCATTTTATTTTCCAATTTTTTTGCAGTTTTACTTCAATGCCTTATTGCAAACAGGATGCATGTTTTGAAATATTTGTATTCTGTACAGGCTTCCTTCTTTTCACTCTGTGCCTCATGGTGAAATCCCTGAGCGGTTTCCTTCCTCTCCGGCAACTGAGTTAGGAAGGACACCTGTATCTTTGTAGTGACTGGGTATATTGATATACCATCCAAAGTATAATAACTTCACCATGCTCAAAAGGGATATTCAATGTCTGCTTAAAAAAAAATCCATCTACCAATAGGTGCCCTTTGCGAGGTATTGGAAAACCTCCCTGGTCTTTGTGGTTGAATCTGTTTGAAATTCACATCTTGACTGAGGGACCTTGCAAATAATTGTATGTGTGGGGTACAGAGATGAGGTCATTAAAAAATAATGTTAAACACTATTATTGTACACAGTGAGTACATGCAACTTATGTGACTTGTTAAGCACATTTTACTCCTTTACTTATTTAGGCTTGCCATAACTAAGGGGTTGAGTACTTATTGACTCAAGACATTTCAGCTTTTCATTTTTAATTCGGGCTGTAACACAAAATGTGGAAAAAGTCGAGCGGTGTGAATACTTTCTCAAGGCACTGTATATCGTCTTCTGTCTTGTCATGGTGCGGCTCATTTCTCAAAGAGCTTCTTTGGCAGAGGAGAACCTGTGGGCTACGTTCCGATATCCACTTCATCAGACCACTTAGTTAGAATGCATGCCCAGCCCTATACATTGCTTCATTCTTAGTGGTATGTTAGTATGGATATGGGAACAAAGGTGTGTTCAGTTTAGAGAGACGTTTCCCTTTATTATTTATGATAGTTCCATTAACTTTACTCTTACAGACACGGGTGGGTAGGTATTTATTGGGTATTCAACTTGGTGCTCACTGTATGCATTTGTTAAGGGCTCTGGTCAACTCCATTGACATACAAGATCAACCCACATTGAAAGACAGCCAGGGTTAATCTGGTGTTGACCGAGTTGATGTCCAGCAGACAGGCAGGGATTTAAACCAGGTCAGGTGGCAGCTATAACCATCCCATGCAAAGATATCCAGTTTCAATCACAAGCCGCCTTCTTCAAGAGTGTTATACAAAGATAATGCATCTTTATTCCTAAATCATCACTTTTCTCATCAGTGATTGATTTTATTTTCCCAATTACCACAATATTGTCTCACACAGGTAGGTAGTGTATTCTGGTAGAAGTGGAGGGTGTGCTTGGTACAGTAGTGCATTATACAAGAAAATCTTTGACATGTAATGGAGACAGTTTAGTATTTTTGTATTTATTGTACATTTGTAACCAAAAAAGCAGAGTATTTATGTTTGCAATGCTACCACCACAACCATACGTAGTGTTCTGAATAAGTGCTTCATTCTGGATGTACTGATATTAATGGCTCAATCCATGATGGGACTTCCTATAAATAGAGGATATTTTTGTGTGCAGATTTGTCTTACTTTATTTGCAGACCTGACTTAAGCTACAAACATTTCTGTGCGGTTGTTGGTCATTTTGCCACGGAAGTTATGAAGCCCAAAGTAGACAACTACCTCTACCTTGTGGATTTCAGCCTAGTGACGATGTGCTTGCATGCAATGTATGTTTTTTTTCTTCTATTTAATTGTAGCTTTGGAACCGAATGGTACACAGCCCTTTGTATACTCCAATAATAAATGTTGCAGCAGATGTTTCTCGTGGTTGTTTTTCTGTGTACATTTAAAAAAGAGTAAGTCATTTCAAATCATGAGGCTTGTAGGGAAAATAATCTTTGGGTAGGATACAGCAGCAGGTGCAGCAACAGGTAGCTGGCTGCTGGCAGAGATGGAAATTAAGCTAGCCTGAGGCTAGTACTTTACAGACCAAGCTAGTAGAAATTGTTCCAACTAGTCGGTAAGTGACATTTCGTCAAGTTAAAAATGGCTTGCAATAGATTGAAACCGGCTAGTAAATCTGGTCTACTAACCCAGATGACCAGTGCCTAAAATCCTTAAATTCAATCCCTACACCTGTAAGAGTTAAACATGAAAGGGTGGGGTTGTGACGTTTGGTTGGGTCAATTTCCTTCCCTGCACTTGTATAGCTTCTTTGAGGGCACTTAACTCTAAGGGTGTCTGCAGAAGCATACAACTACTACCATATGTTTCATCCTGGATAAGAATGAAATTTAATAAAATGTAAATCAGTTAGAATCACTTGATGCTGTAATGCATGAACATTTTATTTAGGCAATAACAGAAGCATCATGGTATACTGTACCCTGGTCCGTAGTTACTCACTGGACATCATTGTTTTTGTTAAATCAACCTGAGTTTAATTTACATTGATATGCATTCAGTAATCTGCTTTCCAAAAACAAAAAAGTAATACAACAGTGCAGAAAAGAGACAGTATCACTTTGTCATCATACAAAACACCAAGCTGAAATGCCTACAGCAGCTCATATCACAGTTTCGATCTGCAACCATTTATTAATTATTCGCCAAACTCACATGGCAACACTTAGTCTTCAAATAAAATTTTTAAAACACAGCCCCCAAAAAAGTCACAAAAAGCAAAACAGGCAAAGACAAGGAACCAATCAAAGGTGCCCCTTTGGAGTTTCTTTTTGGGGGGTTTGTTCATTTTGGTGGTGTTTTTCCTCTTATAATTCAGCATGATCTGTGGGGATTTGAGAGGTACTAGCTCCACCTTGGTTTGGTAGGACCACTATATTGCTTATACCTATCAAATCTTTTCAGATCTCCACAAGTGGCTATGGGGTGGGGAATAGGGGTTGTTTCTCCCCTCTACTGGGCGGGGGCGAACCCCAAGCGGTCTGAGTCTCTGTCAAACACGCTGTAGTAGCGTCCAATGAACACATCTCCCAGGATCCACAGCGGTCCAGCCGGAGGAGGGATGTCCATGGCCATGAAGCCTGACAGACAGATTTTCAGACCCATCTGGGACTCCTGCAGCACATATGGGAGAAGCTTTGAATGATTTGTCACACTTCAACTTAACTACAACCTCTATTCAACTCATCTAGAGGTATGTCCACAGAATTAAATAGATAATACATTTCAAGATATAGTAAAATATATCTATGCATGCGAACTGATTAACTGTTTAATTCATGCTGATTGAAGTTGTCAAATTTCAGACTATTTTCTACTGGCAAGCAGGCCACAGTGAACACTGGTCAGGAGGTGTAATTTACCTTCAGGATATAGTCGTCTCCAGTCAAGTTGAACATCTTCCCTCCCAGGTTGAATGCGATGACGGGAAGAGATGGAACCTTCTTGCAGTCAATCCAATACTGAGAGGGAGTAAAGGGAAAAAAACAAGGGAAAAAGTTACAAATAACTGCATGTACTTCACAAAACGTAACTTCTGTCACTACAATACAAATGAACACGACTGAGATTACAAGAAAATAGAGCCTTACTGTGCATGATCGAAATCTTTTGTTGACCATTCAGGAGAACTAAAAGAGGTTGGAACTGAAAGAATGTACTTGTATGCTACAACAGGTAGACATTTAGTCTACAGACTCCTCTACCTACCTCTCCCATCAGTAGAGGCAAGGCTCCGATGGCTTTGTGCAGTGCCCGGACCTCCTCCACAGGCCCGGTGATGAGGGACGTTCCCGTGTCAACAATCGCCTGGCAACTGGCCTTGCACAGCGTCAGTTGGTTGCCCACTTCCACACTGCAGAGCACCAATTTGCTGTGATCACTCAAGAAATAATTATCCTTAACTACTTCTGTGTGCGATTTAAAAAAAATGATTGGTTCAAGGACATGCATCTGATGTAATAGAAGCAATTACTGGTACCATGAATGTCTTTGATTTTTTTTATTTACATGAAGATTGCCATTTTTCCATTCACTATAATGGGGGATCCTGTTTTCTGGAAACCGCATGCTATACTCCGTCGGCCTTGAACTTCATGGCTTCAATGAGGGGGCAGTCGTTCTCCCCTGGTATGGATATTATAATAGAGCATGTGTAGATGAGAACCAAGTTGCTTACCTGCTCATCTCGATCTGCCAATAAGCCTTGCGTGTGACATTGACATAGTGCAGGTCTCCAGTGTAGTGCAGTGGGTCCGTGCCGCCCAGCATCAGCTCTCCTCCTACAGCAGCTAATGGATCTCTGAGGAACAGGATATCAAAGGGGTTACAAGTTATAGATAAATATACTAGGGTGCACTGGAAGAGGGTCTTGATCGTCAATCTAATATCAGATGAGAAAATGTATCATTGCCTCAACCCCATTGAAGCTAGTGACGACACAAGAATACAAGGTTGTACAAATTATGAAAATGAATTTAATTAACCTGTGGTTTATGTTCATAGATTTTGCCCAAAAAAAAGGAAGCAATTTTAAAGCTGCAATATGTAACCTTTTGGGTGAGCCGACCAAATTCACAGAAATGTGAGTTATAGATGTCATTCTTATTGAAAACAAGTCTAAGAAGCAGTAGATATGTTCTGTGTGCGCTATTTTTTGCTTCCCATTCTTGTTTTTGCGTCTTTTACTTTCAGTTTTGTACACCAGCGTCAAACAGCTGAAAATACTATATTTGGGGTAAAATTGAAAATATATTTCACAGCAGTTTAGAATTGTACAATGATTCTCTACACTATAACGTGCTTGTTGTCACAAACTGAAATAAGGGTAACTATTTCAGTTTCTTGTTTCTGAGGAAATATGACAGCAAATGTAGTTAAAGAATTTCAGGATAACAGGAGCTCAAAATATCCCAGTTCAAATACAAGAAACTCCTTTCAGTTGACCTCCACCAACAGTAAACAGGACTGTTTAAAACATTTTTTTTAAACAAATCACAAGTCAACAAACCACACATTGACCTACGGCCCTCAGTAGGAATGTATTCAAAAAAGGTAAAATCCCTAAAACCAACCAACCTGCTAATATAGAAGGAAAATATGTTCTGAGGCAACAGTTTGGCAGCCATGGCGGTGTCAAACACAGGGGTTATCTTGTCGACAGATATGGTAGGGTAGCCCATGCCCAGCACCCCATCAAAGCGTGCCACTGCAAACGTGATGCCAGGTTGCTTCACGGCCTCACCAAACTGTTGACCAGCGACCTGCATGCCAGCCAACTGAGAGAGGGATGGAATGAAGAACAGGAAGTGTGAGGTACAAATCAGACTGTTCTTGAACACTAAAACAGTGAGGTTTACAGACAATAGACAGAGTAAGGAATGGTATGCAGACTATGCTCCACATTCCATCACGTAAAATGGACAGTGGTAAAATTACACAACAATGCTGTGGATTTGCCCACCTAAATTAGGAATGCAAATGAACAATGGAAAACGTGTGTGTGTGTGTGTGTGTGTGTGTGTGTACACACACAGAACAGTCCACTTACAGAGACAGTGTCCCCACTGATGAACCCAGACAAGCTGCCTCTGCCATACTGGATGGAGAACGTTGTGCCATTCTGAACGTATGTGCTCGACTTCTTGGAGTTATAACGATGGTGGAGCCCTAAGCAGAGGTGTACATAAAGTTGACAACTTTATCTCAGGTTTGATAAATGGCATTCATTTTCATACAAAACAAACATCTCTCATGATGCCTTAAAAATATGATTATGACTTCGAGTACAGCATGCCAAAACATGGAAGAGCAAAAAGGTATTTGCAACTTTGGCTTTTGCACCCATCTCATGATTATATGATAGGAGACTCAGCAGATAGTAAAACCATATAATGTTATGAGTGAAGCCACGGGAAGTAGTTTGGGGAGGAGGGGGGGTTGGGGGCGATACAAAAATAATAATATGGCCGCGCTGAAGACATCCATATTGCTGGCTAATACAGGACTAGTAAAGGCCCAATGCACTTGTGCGAAAAAAAAAAAAAAGCATACTTTTTCGTATTGGTGCCCCGTGGGAATCGAACCCACAACCCTAGTGTTGCAAGCACCATGCTCTACCAACTGTGCCACATTATCACAAACCACTTGATGTCTCAATGTACTCAATTACTGTATTGTGCATTGTTTTTCGTGATGGAAAGTCTACAGGTACAAACCTAGATGACCAGCCAATGTACAATACATTAATGTACATTTACATTAAAGTGGTTCGTAAGGATGGTAAATTAATACTGCACAAAAAGTGGTTGTTTTCCATGTTACTTGATCAAGAAAAATATTTAAAATGTATGTGGATGTTTTGAGTCTTTGCCCATAACGTTGCATCTTTTGATGTACAGTACCAGTCAAAAGTTTGGACACACCTACTCATGCAAGGGTTTTTCTTTATTTTTACTATTTTCTAGAAAATAGTAAAAATGGTCCCGCAGATGAAGAAGCTGGATGTGGAGGTCCTGGGCTGGCGTGGTTTCACGTGGCTATTTTTACTATTTTTTACTATTTTCTAGAAAATAGTAAAAATAAAGAAAAACCCTTGAATGAGTAGGTGTGTCCAAACTTTTTACCAGTAGTGTAAGTATTCAGACCCTTTACTCAGTACTTTGTTGAAGCACCTTTGACAGTGATTACAGCCTTGAGTCTTCTTGGGTATGAAGCTACAAGCTTGGCACACCTGTATTTGGGGAGTTTCTCACATTCTTCAGTGCAGATCCTCTCGAGCTCTGTCAGGTTGGATGGGGAGCGTTGCTGCACAGCTATTTTCATGTCTCTCCAGAGATGTTTGATCGGGTTCAAGTCCGGGCTCTGGCTGGGCCACTCAAGGACATTCAGAGACTTGTCCCGAAGCCACTCCTACGTTGTCTTGGCTGTGTGCTTAGGGTCATTGTCCTGTTGGAAGGTGAACCTTCGCCCCAGTCTGAGGTCCTGGGCAGGTTTTCATCAAGGATCTCTTTACTTTGCTCTGTTCATCTTTGCCTCGATCCTGACTAGTCTCCCAGTCCCTGCCGCTGAAAAATATCCCCACAGCATGATGCTTCACCGTAGGGATTACATTTTAGTCATTTAGCAGATGCTCTTATCCAGAGCAACTTACAGTTAGTGCATACATTTTTCATACTGGCCCCCCGTGGGAATCAAACCCACAACCCTGGCGTTGCAAGCGCCATGCTCTACCAACTGAGCTACAGGACGTGAGGATTATGCCACTAAAATGTGTAGTTGTGTCAAGTTTTGAAGGAGCGTGCAATTGGCATTCTGACTGCAGGAATTAATGTTAATTTCTCTACCATAAGCCACCTCCACGTCCTTTTATAGAATTTGGCAGTACATCCAACCAGCTTCACAACAGCAGGCCACGTGAAACCACGCCAGCCCAGGACCTCCACATCCAGCTTCTTCATCTGCGGGACCATCTGAGACCAGCCACCCGGACAACTGATGAAACTGTGGGTTTGCACAAAAAGAATTCCTGCACAAACTGTCAGAAACCGTCTCAGGGAAGTTAATCTGCGTGGTTGCCGTCCTCACCAGGGTCTTGACCTGACTGCAGTTCGGCGTTGTAACCGACTTCAGTGGGCAAATGTTGACCTTCGATGGCCACTGGCACGCTGGAGAATTGTGCTCTTCACAGATGAATCCCAGTTTCAACTGTACCGGGTAGACGGCAGATAGTGTGTATGGCATCGTGTAGGTGAGCGGTTTGCTGATATCAACGTTGTGAACAGAGTTCCCCATGGTGGCGGTGGGGTTATGGTCTGGGCAGGCATAAGCTACGGACAACAAATACATTTCATCAATGGCAGTTTGAATGCACAGAGATACCGTGACGAGATCCTGAGGCCCATTGTCGTGCCATTCATCCAACGCCATCACCTCACGTTTCAGCATGATAATGCATGGCCCTATGTCGCAAGGATCTGTACACAATTCCTGGAAGCTGAAAATGTCCCAGTTCTTCCATGGCCTGCACACTCAGACATGTCACCCATTGAGCATGTTTGGGATGCTCTGGATCAACAATGTGTTCCAGTTCCTGCCAATATCCAGCAACTTGGCACAGCCATTGAAGAGGTGTGGGACAACGTTCCACAGGCCACAATCAACTCAATGCGCTGTATGAGGCAAATGGTGGTCACACCAGATACTGACTGGTTTTCTGATCCACGTCCCTACCTTTTAAGGTATCTGTGACCAATAGATGCACTGTGATGTTAAATCCATAGATTAGGGTTTAATTTATTTAACTTGACTGATTTCCTTATATGAACTGTAATACAGTAAAATCGTTAAGTTTATATTTTTGTTCAGTGTGTATTTTTTATTATTCATATATTATTATTTTATTTTTTATTACTCTCAGCACCCCTACTTCCCGTGGCTATGTTGAAGTGCAGTGAAGGCAATAATAGACTGACTCACAGCATGCAATATCCAGGAAGGAGCAGTGAATGGAGGGCACCCATAGGTTGGAGGAGCCGGTGTCAAACAGCACAGTAAAGTCCTGGGGTGGTGTGCCTATGCTGATCACCCCATAGTACTGAGCCTGTAGAGAGATTTGATACCAACACCACATTCATATGATAAATACATAGGCCTAAGTCTATACTACAGTTCTCTTCTAACTCCTGGGGAGAGAGATACACTGAACGTGCAAGCTTTTATTCAACCAAATCACACACCTGAAAAAACTAAGTGTGATTATATATATATATATATATATATATATATATATATATATATATATATATATATATATATATATATATATATATATATATATATATATATCTTTACTTATTATTGCTTCAGTCAGCCTAGAACAAGATAGAGTTAACCCAAACCTAGTGACAATATCCACTTACATCCATGAAGTTGGTGAGTCTCTCAACTGGCACTTTCGGTCTCTGAGTGGTTGCTGGTACGGATGGTGGTGTGACAGCTCCTGCAACACCAACGGTCTTGGCCATGTCCTGGAGTTGTTCAAAGCTCATCCCATTGTCACTCATCAGGCGGCGCATACTGCGCGTCTTGTGGAGGGGAATTCTAAGGCCAATTTTGTATGATAACGAAAAGAGAGTCTATCTGTGATAATTTGTTTAACGAATAATTCAGAACTGGTGCGCTCTGTGTTCTACTGATGTTCCCATACATTTACGAGCAGCTTGGTTCTATTTTACTACAGAAATGCTTCGTTATTATGTACAATCTATGTTAACTCGAATGCAAACTTTAGGAGATAGGTGTGTGCACCAAAATTGGAACTACGTGCCTAAACAAACATGCATGTAAAATTGGCAATAATAATAATAACCTAATGTCAGGAAATTAAACTACCTCAGAGAACGGTTACAGCCTAGCCTATTCGATACTGATCACGGGATAGCGCAAGAATAAATACTCGCGTTATTCAAAACCTTCCCAAGCAACTGACGAAAATATTTTACCTTATAATAGCAGAGCTGTGCGCTATCAACAGCGCGATGGTTATAGACAATATTTGAAGACACTTCATATTCTTCTTTGATAAACCAACTGGATGGTGAGTTCTTTCACTTTAGGAATTAATCTTGGATGTCCAAATTGTTCGTTCACAGAAGACGGAACACTCGATCAAATCTACGCACTAAACTCAGTTATATCCGTACACCTTTCGGTGATTTCCGTACACACTCGCTTTTCTTCACTCGGTCCAATCCTGATTGGTGACAGTACATAAATTAGATGGATTTATTTGCTTGAATAGTATCCATCATTTTAACTGGTCAGTGCAATCTCGAAAAACTTTGGACGTCTGGGGTGAACGTTTTGTTTTTTTGTCCAAACACTCCACGGTTGATTCAAATTATATAAGCTTGTTGACTGATTATTTGAATCAGCTGTGTAGTGCTAGGGCAAAAACCAAAACTTGCACCCCTTGGGGTCCAGATGACTGAGTTTGGGAATCCCTGCCCTAACCATGTTAAAATTCGACTTCAATGGGGAATGGACGTTCCAAGGACCCCAGATTGCACGGACAATTTAAAATCAGACATCGTACTATATGCACATGACAAGTAGCTGTCGCAGGATCACGAGATACATGGAGAAGGGTCTGATTGCGGCCCCCAATTCCGGGCGTTGCTGCATCTGCAGGAACTCCTCTTAAAGAGCGACTGCCTTTAAAAAGCAACGAATCCCTTTGAAAACGGACTCAGGCATCGATATGAGTCAGAAAAAGTTTGGAACATCCGTGTGTCACAACTGGTAAATTAAGGTTGGGTTTTTATTTGACATTTTCAATTTGCCCACTAACAACAATAATAATAATAATAATAAGGTGCATTAAAAAATAAAAAGAAGAAGAATAAAAACAATCCAAAACACATTACATAGAGCGCACACAACAATCAAAGCTATAGGTGTCGCCAGATCCGGAGGACATGAGAACATAATTAGCAGAGGTCCTTGAGCTGTGCCTTAAAGGAGGACAGCTGCAGGAGGACAGAGACTCTGTAGCCCTAATAGTGTCTGTAAGTGCGTTCCAACAACTGCGGAGCGGCGCAACTGAAAGCTCTGTCACCCATAGTTTTTAGTCTGCTGCAGGGCTACTGAAGGGAGACGAACCTGGAGGAGCGAAGGGTGCGTTTTTGAGGCAGGAGCTCAGACAGGTACTTCGGTCCAGACTTGTGGATAGCTTGGTAGGTGCAAACCAGGATTTTGTAATCGATGCGTGAGCATATGGGGAGCCAGTGGAGATTGAACAGCACTGGAGTGATGTGCTGGCGGGGGGAGGTGTGGGCGAGGACACGTGCAGCACAGTTCTAGACATATTGTAGCCTGTTTAGGTACTTGGCAGATGCACCAACAAAAAGGGCATTACAATAGTTCAGACGGGATGAAATAAAGGCGTGGATAAGTCACTCAGCTGCAGGTTGTGATTGCATAGGTCGTCACCAGGATAACATGGGGTGAACAGTTGCGGTGATCGCGCTCTCTATCCAATAGCATAGACAGTGACAGACCTGCCCAGCAGCTCTGACTTTGTTTACATAATACAACACGTCACACATTTTTTTACTTGAGAAATACTGCACCAAACCCCGTAGTTAGATGTACAATTGCGCAACTAAAACAGCCTCGGCAAAAACGTCTAGATTAATTACAGATTTCTTGAGTTATCTTAGATTCATTCTGGGGATTTTGAGGAAGTGAAATAGGCTTCCACATCTACAGTGTCTCATGGGAGACAAACATCATTAACCAAACACTGAACGGTCAGGAGACCCGGTCTGTGTGCTTATGGATAATTCCTATTTCCTTTCATCTCGTCAAGGCCAAAAAGAGGAAATTCATAGTTTTATCATTTTTCTAGTTAAAAATCAAAACGGAAATTGTATATCAACTCGTTTTCAAGTTTATGGTGTACAAATTGGGTATTTAGTAACAGAAAAAAAAATTAAGACAACATTTATTTTTCGTTTTGTTCATACCTGGAAGTACAAGCCCCCTAATAAAAAATTTATGGCGCATAGCTGGTGTTTGTTTACAGTCTGGGTTGAGCTGCAGTGTAGGCAGCACAGAGAAAGGGTTATACATTTGTGTGACAGCCAGGAAGATAAAAATAGTAATGTTAGCTAAGATGCTTAACTTGACATGAAGTTAGCATGCCAATAGGATGAACTCAACAACAATTGAACAAAGTTGTCTTGCACCACCTGGCTAGCTGTCTGTGGCAGTAACTCTGAAAAACATATTTATTTTATAGCAGAGAGAACAAATGGGAACATTTATGCAATCAAAAGGCAATATTCACAAGGTACAGACCACACCTTCAACTGTATATGTTTAATATATTTAATGGAGTGAGTGACAGACAGGAGTTGGGGGCTCAACAGTACTTATGACACTTGAACTGTACATGTCACATGTGTCTGGATCACAACCAGTCATATCTAGTATCCATTAAAGCAACAATCGCAATGCAAATTCAGGGAATTTCATTAATTTGGACATTTGCTCAGTAATTGAAGGGTAGTGGCCAGTAGTAAATAGATGTGTAAAGACAAAGTAATATCATGAAATCTAATTTTGTATTAGCTTGTAACTTATAAAATATTCAATTTGATTTGATTTTGGGTCACAGGTAAAATGCAGCAATTACATATACTTGTATTACTTATCAAGAGAAGGGGGGAGGTAGGGGGAGAGGGGGTTTCTTCAACCAAACCCAACTACACACATCTATCCACTCTCTCTCCCCACACCCACATCCCTCCATGCATGTGCCATCTGTCAACTTTCAGTAAAAACCACACTTGAAGCAAATTTAAACATTGAATTCAACCAACTTAATCAAAGGGCAGTTGAATAAGAGTGAGCAAGGTTTAGTATGAGAGGGATAAAGTAGTTGATTTGGCAGTCTGGCAGCATGGGATTGGTGCCGACAGCAAAACAACTTCCCCTAATGAGAGAGAGAGAGAGAAAGCGAGAACGCATGGGGAAGTTGAGGGATCATTAACATTTTGAGAGGAACGCAATTTAAACACACAGGTAAGAAGTAAATAGCATGATGATGTGAACAACTAGGCAAACAATTTGAAAGTGTCTAGGGGTGATCTACATGTAATACCACACAACATGAGAGAAATGGAGAGACACACCTTGAGAGCATCATGCCTAACAGGGTAGGGGAGGGAATGGCCGGCAGGGATGTAGCTCAGTTGGTAGAGCATGGCGTTTGCAACGCCAGGGTTGTGGGTTCGATTCCCACGGGGGGCCAGTATGCAAAATAAAAAATAAAAATGTATGCACTCACTAACTGTAAGTCGCTCTGGATAAGAGCGTCTGCTAAATAACTAAAATGTAAATGTAAAATGTAACAGGAAGTGTAAAGAAGGGGCTTTCCTTGAAGGACGGGGAAGGAGAGGAGGGTCTCAGCTGAAGTCCAAGAATTCCAGTTGTCCCTCAAACAGGCCTGCAGCTAGAGATGCGTCGGATGCGTTGGATTGCATTGGATGCGTCTCAGTCCACCGCATCCACCGATGTCACACTTCTGGATCTGCGGTGAATGGTGGCAGAGCTAGAGCGGTGTTTGTCAGACCATGAGACATCCTGAAAATTGCTCTTCTCGCTAAAACGTCTGTAGCGTCTGAACCGTTTGGCCTTTCATAGAGTGGTCACAACTATTATGACCACTCTATGGAAAGGAGAGACTCTCATGAACATCGATGGTGTTCTACGTTTTCCTCTACGATCCCCAGGGGACTCGTCTGAAGTCGGTACCATCGGTGTGCCAACTTCTGTTTGGTACCGCCCAAACCGTTTGGGCTACAAACTAATGGGACCCCACTGTGGAAAGGGTAGCCATGAAAAACAGCCCAGACCATTATTCCTCCTTCACCAAACTTTACAGTTGGCACTATGCATTGGGGCAGGTAGCGTTCTCCTGGCATCCGCCAAACCCAGATTCGTCCGCCTGACTGCCAGATGGTGAAGCGTTATTCATCACTCCAGAGAACGCGATTCCACTGCTCCAGAGTCCAATGGCGGCGAGCTTTACACCACTCCAGCCAATGCTTGGCATTGCGCATGGTGATCTTAGGCTTGTGTGCGGCTGCTCGGCCATGGAAACCCATTTAATGAAGCTCCTGACGAGGGATAACTCTAGCTAAGTTATCTACAGAAAGTAATGGAGAAATCTGACTTTTCTGCAGCAGGTAGCTCTGGCCGGGCAGCTTAATCTTGTAGCAGGTTGAGGGACTAACTTACTTCCACTAGCTACTACTAGCTAGCATGACTATTGTCAGTAACCAGCTAGTACAAGCCACCTTTTGTTAAGTTGTTGTTGAGTTTGTTATATAGGCATGCTAACTTCATAATAAGTTCTGCGGACTCGTCTGAAGTCGGTACTGTCGATGTGGGGCAAAGGTTCACCTTCCAACAGGACAACGACCCTAAGCACACAGCCAAGACAACCCAGGAGTGGCTACGGGACAAGTCTCTGAATGTCCTTGAGTGACCCAGCCAGAGCCTGGACTTGAACCCGATCAAACATCTCTGGAGAGACCTGGAAATAGCTGTGCAGTGACGCTCCCCATCCAACTTGACAGAGCTTGAGAGGATCTGCAGAGAAGAATGGGAGAAACTCACCAAATACAGGTGTGCCAAGCTTGTAGCGTCATACCCAAGAAGACTCGAGGCTGTAATCGCTGCCAAAGGTGCTTCAACAAAATACAGAGTAAAGGATCTGAAAACTTATGTAAATGTGATATTTCAGTTGTTGTTTTTTTATATACATTTGTAAAAAAAATTGAAAAACCTGTTTTCGCTTTGTCATCAAGGGGTATTGTGTGTAGATTGATGAGGCAAAAAACAATTTCATCAAGTTTAGAATAAGGCTGTAACGTAACAAAATGTGGAAAAAGTGAAGGGGTCTGAATACTTTCCGAATGCACTGTAAATTACATACAGAATACGTAATCTCAGCAGAACTTTTAACAGTGACTTGTTGCTGGGGATCGGAAGTGTCCGGTGCAAGAGAGGCAGGTTGAGGCGGCCAGGGTCAGGTGTCGTACGCTGAGGCAGTGAGGAAAGTAGAGGAGGATGGGTCAAGGGTGAGGGATCCTGAGAGGATCCCTGTGAGTAGTAGATCTGTACCAGAACAGAGGGAGGCCAATGACTGATATACAGTATGCTTCAGTAAGGTTGGATTCTTAGTGTTCATAGCTATGGTTATCAATTATACTGCAGGGATGTAACGTAAGTCACAGAAAATAGATGTTGTGGTGGCAGCGGCAGAGAAGTGCTTGGGTGTACAAGATTTGACTTCAGAAGAGTTACAGGGTGTGCTGAGTGGTGGTGTTCTGTCCTCCCAGGCCGTAGGGTTCAATAGTGGAATGGGGTGGTGGGTTTTTAATGAGTGTATGGTTAGTCCCTTTTTCCCATTTTGTATCACAAAGTATAATGGGTATATACCCCAGTCTAGTTGGTGGCGGTAATGCAACATATATTGGATGCCAACCGCCGTTAAACCTCACAGAAGAAGACGTCTCTTGGCCACTTGAAACCAGTTGCGTCTGGTTTGGGTAGTGAGTCACTGTGCCAAAATGGCTGAACGGATTTTCAAGCCTGACTTCTTAAAATGACGTAAGCAATCAGGGCTTTCAAGTTATGGAGTAAAAAAAAAGACAGACAGGTGAGGAAACTTCAAACTCCCATTCACTTTTCCTATTATAAATGATGAGCTAGATCAACGGCATATGTGGAGGATGCATACAAGGGAATGTGGATGGAGAAGGAAATGCTTTATTTACAATATACCTTTTCCATGCATACTACATGTTTGCACTTACATTGTATACTCTATGAATATGACCATAGCGCATGACTTAAACATACGGTTTATTTAACCTGGGGGTATCTGTTTGCTATTCTTTATGTGTTTAAGACACAAATAGAGGGCAGCCACAGGCTATTGGGTGCGTTCAAGGAGAAAGGTTGTATGCAGCCATATTGTTTGTGAGGCCCTGCTGATACGGTTGAATTGCAAGGTCAAGCACACTTTCTGCATATCATTGCGATGAGTTTCTAGGAGGATGGATAAAAAGATTGGAAAATAGAGGTTAACAAATGTGCAGATGGGTAATAGTGAGTAAGGTCATACAAAGGCAAATGGCAACCCATTCCCTACATAGTGCACTACCTTTGACCAGAGCCCTATATGGTACACTACTTTTGACCAGAGTAGTGCACCAAATAGTGAATAGGGTGCCATTTGGGTCACAGACGTCTGTCTGAGAGAAGTGATGCAAAGAGATCCACCCTAGCAGTTTTTTCTGTTCCCAAGCAGCAGTGAGAGCACAGCTATTTGACATCACAAAGTCATAGGTGACAGAGATAGAGGCACAGACATCATTATCATCCATGCCGCAACAGGTGTAAGAGCATAAACATGCATAATAGAGAAGTGTAAGGGGAGAGACTCAAAGAGAGGGAAAGACTGAAAGCATGACAACGGTAAGGTCCTACATTGACTTTGGGGCAAACATTCTGATTTGAAGGGGCAACATACAAATTAGCATTATTGATACATCTAATTGAGGGTGCAATCCATAACCTAACCCTAACCAGAGTGACCATTTTCTCTAGCCTTACAAATAACAGTGGCTTGTAGAGGCGAATATGATATTCAAATCTAATGAAACAATAAAAGGATTGTAAAATAATGTAAAATGGTTCAGATTATGAAGACGTAAACCACTACAATATGCCAACCTCAAACCTGCAGTGCAAAAATACCTATGACATGCAGAGTTGCATAATTTAAATGCCATAGATACAAAAGAAGAGGATAGTCCCGTAAAGGCTAAAGAAAGAAAGAACAGTTCAAACCAGTGATATATTCATTAGATGAACTTAGCACATGTCAAAGCAATTTGATGTCTTTGACAGATTTGACAATTTGCACATTAAAAGCAGGCTTTTCAACATAATATGCAGTCAGAGAGACACAGTAGTGATTAGTTATAGAAAACAAACAATCTTTCCATCTAAAGACAAGTCAGTAACATAAATGTTTTGCAAGATTTGTTTTGGGTGTTATGTTACTGATAGTCTGACAGTGGTGATGGCCAAAGTCAAGTGCTTTTGAGGTTTCCCAGACCCAGATAACTTTTAATATCCTTCCTAGTCCAGGAGTAGACTTAATGTGGGTCTGCTGGGAAAACAGCCCTCAGTTACTCTCAACAAACTATCTGCCAACAATTTAAAAAAAATATATCGCCCTACCATTTCCAAGAACTAAAAGGGAATGTTGTGAAAATGATATGGTCGGATATCCTTTTCATTGGTTGGTTGTTGTGTCATCATTAAAACAGCACCAACTTTCAGTGTGAAACTAAAGCCTTAACCCAACACCATGGCTAACAGTATTTGTCATTGCTCATAGTTAGATGTATCTTGTATTTCTGAGTCTTGGATGTTCCTCACACAGTATACTTGATATCAGGGGGAAAGTGCAACATTTCAAAACAAAGCTCTCACTGAAGATTTGCCATGTAAAAAGACATGCGAATGTTTGATGTAGTGGTTTCCCATCATTCTGCCCCCAGCCTCATATACCCCACAGGAAGTCATTCTTGGTCAAGTCGTCCACGGCCATCGGGTCCTATGACCTCCCATCCTTACATGTGGATTCAGACAACCAAGAGGAAAACGCATCAACAGTAAGGATAATGCCAGAAGAAAAATTGACAGTTTTTCAAATGCTTCTTTGACAGTGTTAAATATGTTTTAATTGTGTTTGTTATAATTATAGGGACAATGGAAGCCCATGTAATAGCCAGACACCAGGGGCTGCAAGGACAAGGAGCCAGTCTCCCTTTTCGGCCAAACTTTGGGACTGCTAGTGACCGACGGCCTCAGATGTCAGAGCCCCAGGTGAGTAGTAGCCAAGTGAGATCAAATAGAGGACAGCACTAACCTCTTCCCCAGGCTCAATTGCTATGACAGCACTAACCTCTTCCCCAGGCTCAATTGCTATGACAGCACTAACCTCTTCCCCAGGCTCAATTGCTATGACAGCACTAACCTCTTCCCCAGGCTCAATTGCTATGACAGCACTAACCTCTTCCCCAGGCTCAATTGCTATGACAGCACTAAAAGGTATGATTTAAAGACATTAAGAAATGCACCTTAGACCTGGGTTTCAAAACTCTGGTTGGTCACAATAGCTACATTATAATTTCATTAATCCTAATCCGCTGTAACTGTAATGTACTTACTATTAATGTAATAATAATAACAATAATAATTTGGGGGGGGGGGTGCTTATATTTGTCCAGTTACACAAAAGTGTGTAATGGAAATGTATACTTTTTTTTTGGCATATCCCAACTTTGGCATATCCCCTGAGACCCACTAGGGAATAGGGTCACCATTGTACAGCGCCCCTGGAGCAATTAGGGTTAAGTGTCTTGCTCAAGGGCACTGCGACAAATTGTTTTATTTTTGCTTTACCTTGTTGGCTCCGGTATTCAAACCAGCAACGTTTCGGTTACTGGCCCAATGCTCTATGACACCACAACAGTCTATATACAGTTTAACTGCACATCAACTTGACTTTGTGATTTGTATCTCAGCTGTCTAACAGGAAGAAGCCAAACTGTGTACCAAATCAAGACTCAGCCGGCATTACCCCGGAGTATGTCCCACTCAGAGCCCCTGGACAAGAGACAGAACCCAGGCCTCCCAGGCCTCTCCCCAAGCTACGGCAATGTGATGGATACCCAGGTGAGTCAACTACACTCTCTCTTCTCTTGTGTTTCATTATATCTAGGTTCTTCTAATCAGTTTTCCTGTCAGAACCAGCATAGGAGATGCACACACTGCTGTGCAGAGGTCGGGGCCGCTTCCTCTTTTTCCCTTTCTAGTCTCTCTCACTGTATTTTGCAGTTAATGTTCCAATTATTGTTGCTAAATGATTAATGAACTGTTTTGACAGACCTCCAACCAGACTTGCTCCCCAACGGACTATCAGAGCCCCCATCCTGTTCGCCGCCCTCCAGTTCCTCCCAAGACATATGACACTCTTCTGAGCCCCTCTCCAAATGCAAGCGGGGACTATGACAATGTTGATAGATCTAAACTTGGAATGACTGAGAAGGTAAACCAAGAGAACCACTGAATAAACCAGCATATAGTGTATACAGTAAGACAGGTTGAATAAAACAAATCAACCCTCTACTCTTCTCTGTGGTTTAACACAGGCCTTAGACATTTATGGCAAAAATAAGCCCTCCCCTCCTCTCCCATGGCCTGTGAGACCCCCTCAGTCCCCCATGATGTCCTGCTCCTCTTCAGCCTCTTCAGAGTATGAGAGGATGCTACCTGAAATGCACCTACTACAACCTCAGGTGAGAGAGTACTTCATATTCATTGCAATTAAGAAAATACCATAACATTCACTGTTTAATCAGTATAACTTTAGTTTCTGTCAATAAGATATCTTTGCTTTCTTTGTATTGGTATAGGATTCCATAGAACGAAAGTGCAGTCAGTCCCATTGTCCTGTTCGACCCCCAGCTCCACCCAAATCTGAACCACTGTCCTTGTATGGGGGCTATGACGTCAATTGAGCCCAGAGTCCGAGGGTAAGCACCACTCAATATCAGCATCACTCCGGAGTTACTTTTTAGGCCCTTATATCAAGTCACTACTAACATCGCCTCTGGGGTTTTTCATGTTCAATAGCCCTCAGACACAGACAATGAGAGGTCGCCTCACCCTTCACGGCCCCCACCACGGCCGGGAAGGCCCCCCTCCCACACCCTGTCCCATTCCCCCTCAGGAATTGAAACAACAGCCACACAACTTCAACCACTGCTGCAGGTGAGAGCCGTACATACCCGTCTCCAACTGGTGCTGACAGAAGCACAAACGCAGCTCACGACTATACATACACACATGGTGCCGTTCAAAGGATATAGTACAACATTTATTTACTGTGATATGCTTTCATTGTTTTCATCTGAGGTGAAACAGATGCTGTATGTGTGTGATAGAGACAGGGAAGTGTTCAGTGTAATCTATCTCTCTTTATGTTCCTTCCTTCCTGAAACTCAAAAGTCCCCTTAAGGTTGTGAAATGTACTTGTGTCTTGTTGATTTGTTGTTATTGTTCACATGTGAAAACTTGTGTTTTTGGAACACTTCACTTGTGACATTTCACATGTGAAAACGTGTTTTTGGAACACTTCACCTGTGACATTTCATAAGTGAAATCATGTGCAAGTGAAAACGTGTTTTTGGAACATTTCACATGAGATCACGTTTTCACATGTGCTTACATGTTGTCACGTGTTTAGTTTCATGTTATTACATGTTGCTTTACATGTTGTCACATTAACTTAACTTAAACACATGTGATCACGTGAAATTCATGTGGTTTTTCCGTAAGGGGTGAGGACCATGTTAGGATGTTTGTAAGATGTTCTCAAGACATTTGTTTTACCAGTCGTCAGGACGTGATGTGATGGTCCCAGATGGTCCCAAACCCTTATAATAAACCATTATAATTACGTTAACCAAGAGGTTGTGTGTTCAAATCACAGGTGAGGACATGCTGAATAATAATTACAGAAAAATATGAAATGCATGCACTCACAGCATGCACTCACAGTCGCTCTGGATAAAAGTGACTGCCAAATGACTAAAATGTAATTTAACATACACAATGTGTGTCAAAGATGTAAGTTAAAAACTCTATATTAAAAGCACTATGTGTGTATCATAATGACTCATGTTTGTTTTCACAAAAATTAGATTTTCCACATGTGAAATCATGTGGTTTTTCGGTAAGGGAAGGCTATGATACAGTGTCAGATATTGAAGTTGCAGCAATAGAGTTGCTTGTGTCTGTAAAACAAAACAAAATTCATTCCATAGCCCACCAACGCAAAAGGAGGCTCCCTGCCTGCATGTCCTCAACTCCCGCCCCCACCCTCGTTCACCCCCCCCCCCCCCCATTATTAAGACAGATGTATATCGTATTATTTGACACTACATTACATTGTATTTAATTCATTTTTAGACCGTTAACTGTTCTTCTGTAATTGTTGTACTGTTCTCAGCTGTTATGATTCAATAGATGACCATTGATTACTGAGGGATAATATACTTGGGTTGTAATTGTGTATGTGTTTCTCTTTCAGGCTGGGAAAACATGGCTCCTTCATTTTATGGCCTCAGTCTAGAGGATGAAACCAGGTGAGACCTGACTAACCTCTTACTGTACGCATGTGGTTAATACACCATTTCAGGGATAGAGCTTTGATCTTACATCTAATACAGGCAAGCATACCATTTAATCAGCACCCTGTCTCTTATTAAATCTGTCTTTCCATCCCACCAGGGAGTTCAGCCAGAGGTGCCTCCATGTGAAAAATGGCGTCCGTCTGTTCAACTGCCTGATAATGAAGTGTAACGATACCTTGCGAGGCCACATCACAGAGCTCAACGACCTCGCAGAGAAGCTGGACAAAGTGCAGAAGAAAACCAAAACCATGGGCATCGCAGGGGGCAACACGGGCGCCGTGGGAGGGGCGGTGGCCGTTGTGGGCATCGTCCTCGCCCCCATGACCATGAGTGCCTCCTTCATAGCCACGGCAGTTGGGGTGGGCATGGTGTCATCGTGTAGTGGGATGGGCATCAAAGCGGCCATGGACAACAACAAAAGCAACTCTGTGTACAGGAAGAGGCTGGAGGAGGTTGTGCAGAAGTACAAAGCCAAGATAGCAGACGTGGAGTGGTCTCTTTGCTTCATCCACAGTGGGATGGCTGAGCTGAGGCGGTACAACTTCCACAGGCTCCAGCATGCTGAGCCTGAGGCCCTGCGGATAGCCAGGGTGGCAGAGTCAGTGCATCCTGGGTGTAAAAAATCCCAATAGTTGGGCATAAAGAGATTATCCTGCAAGGGTTTGCCAGACATGGACCTGTATTATACTGACAAGGACGGCTAGAGGCTGAAAAATGCCTCTGAGACTAAGTTTGCCACCAGGATCTGTGGTGTGACCCAGGAGCTACAGGAGGAGCTCAATGAACTGCACCAAGTGTGGCAGACTTTCTCACTAGCGGCCAGTAGATTTTGAGGTGTGTGTGTGTGTGCCGTCATTAATGCAGTAAAGGTCTGGCAATGTTTTGGACACATGCCAGATATTGTTGTTGTGGGGGAGGCCAGAGGGAGGTGCTCATTTTGCAAGTGGGTTGCCCTATTGAAGCCTACATCAAGACAACCTTTGCTGACAAGTTGCTGAAATTTCAGCCCCCGTGAACAGCCTTGGTTATCAGTGCAAACTTGTAATGCTAATATTTGGGAGTCTCAGACATGTACATACAGTGGGGAGAACAAGTATTTGATACACTGCCGATTTTGCAGGTTTTCCTACTTACAAAGCATGTAGAGGTCTGTAATTTTTATCATAGGTACACTTCAACTGTGAGAGACGGAATCTAAAACAAAAATCCAGAAAATCACATTGTATGATTTTTAAGTAATTAATTTGCATTTTATTGCATGACATAAGTATTTGATCACCTACCAACCAGTAAGAATTCCGGCTCTCACAGACCTGTTAGTTTTTCTTTAAGAAGTCCTCCTGTTCTCCACTCATTACCTGTATTAACTGCACCTGTTTGAACTCGTTACCTGTATAAAAGACACCTGTCCACACACTCAATCAAACAGACTCCAACCTCTCCACAATGGCCAGGACCAGAGAGCCGTGTAAGGACATCAGGGATAAAATTGTAGACCTGCACAAGGCTGGGATGAGCTACAGGACAATAGGCAAGCAGCTTGGTGAGAAGGCAACAACTGTTGGCGCAATTATTAGAAAATGGAAGAAGTCCAAGATGACGGTCAATCACCCTCGGTCTGGGGCTCCATGCAAGATCTCACCTCGTGGGGCATCAATGATCATGAGGAAGGTGAGGGATCAGCCCAGAACTACACGGCAGGACCTGGTCAATGACCTGAAGAGAGCTGGGACCACAGTCTCAAAGAAAACCATTAGTAACACACTATGCCATCATGGATTAAAATCCTGCAGCCCACGCAAGGTCCCCCTGCTCAAGCCAGCGCATGTCCAGGCCCGTCTGAAGTTTGCCAATGACCATCTGGATGATCCAGAGGAGGAATGGGAGAAGGTCATGTGGTCTGATGAGACAAAAATATAGCTTTTTGGTCTAAACTCCACTCGCCATGTTTGGAGCAAGAAGAAGGATGAGTACAACCCCAAGAACACCATCCCAACCGTGAAGCATGGAGGTGGAAACATCATTCTTTGGGGATGCTTTTCTGCAAAGGGGACAGGACGACTGCACCGTATTGAGGGGAGGATGGATGGGGCCATGTATCGCGAGATCTTGGCCAACAACCTCCTTCCCTCTGTAAGAGCATTGAAGATGGGTCGTGGCTGGGTCTTCCAGCATGACAACGACCCGAAACACACAGCCAGGGCAACTAAGGAGTGGCTCCGTAAGAAGCATCTCAAGGTCCTGGAGTGGCCTAGCCAGTCTCTTTGGAGGGAGCTGAAAGTCTGTATTGCCCAGCGACAGCCCCGAAACCTGAAGGATCTGGAGAAGGTCTGTATGGAGGAGTGGGCCAAAATCCCTGCTGCAGTGTGTGCAAACCTGGTCAAGACCTACAGGAAACGTATGATCTCTGTAATTGCAAACAAAGGTTTCTGTACCAAATATTAAGTTCTGCTTTTCTGATGTATCAAATACTTATGTCATGCAATAAAATGCAAATTAATTACTTAAAAATCATACAATGTGATTTTCTGGATTTTTGTTTTAGATTCCGTCTCTCACAGTTGAAGTGTACCTATGATAAAAATTACAGACCTCTACATGCTTTGTAAGTAGGAAAACCAGCAAAATTGGCAGTGTATCAAATACTTGTTCTCCCCACTGTAGGCTGACTGTACGCAGGCCTGCATAGGACAAAGGCAAAGCAGCTGTAGTGCTCTGTGTCAGCTGTTATGGGCAGCCTTGCTGTATGGAGAAGAAGGTGTTTTCTGTATCCATAAGTCTCCATATATCCATGAACTTTGAAATGTTTGAATCCTCTCGACTGTAATGCGATTTGTGGATTCAAATAAAGTATTTAAAATGTAAGAGTATGAATGTGAAATGTTTTACTATTCAATGTGTACTGCTGAGAATGTCCACAGGACATTTTATCTATATCCTATTTGTGAATTATCAAAATACTAAAAAGGATGTGCAATACACTTTATTGAAAAGTTGTTGGCTTGCATAAATTATGTGTTATGTGATTAGTATAAGGCATCACAGGATGATTTCTAAAACTGGCCCATGTTAACCCCCAATGTGTGGAATGATACAGTTTCCACTAGCTTCTATAGCCACAAAGTCAGATTCCATAGCCACAAAGTCAGATTCCACAGCCACCAAGTCAAAATTGGCTAAACATTTTTAATTTCGTTCTTAATTTAAATTTAGGGGTTAGGCATAAGGTTAGCAGTGTGGTTAGGTTTAATATAAACTTTTAAGAAGATAATTTGTAGAAATGGGTGGGGTTTATGACTTGGTGGCTATAGAAGCTAGCTAGGGCCTGTGGAAGGATATCCTAGCTCTAGATCAACGGTGTATATAAACCCTTGATTGCAAATGCTATGTGTTGGCCATTTAGAAGCTTTGAAGCCATTGCTCGGCCACATTGGCACTACCCAGTAGGATCAGTCCTCCATAGGAATGAATTGAATTCTATTTAAATGCAATGTTTCAAGGACAAAATTACATGTATTTAAGGATTTTTTGTTGTAGTGGGGCCAGTAACATTAGGAACCTCTAACAATGTGACTAAGGAAAATGTTATATGTATTTATTGACTTTTTATCTGTATGTTTATCTCACATAATATAATTTAAAAGTATGCATTAAGGTGTGTGTAATGGAATAAACGTGACAAAAATGAATGTAGACATTAACAAATGCTTTTCTATAGCTTCCAAAATATGTTTTACAACGGTGGAGGGGTGCCAAGATGGAGGCACGGTGGCTTCAACACAGCGCCCCTTATAAGTCAACTAGTGTGTATATATAAATCATTGGTCTTTTTGGAGTTGTATATTATGCTGGGGATCAGAAATGTCCCATGTGAGAGAGGCAGGTTGAGGTTTCCAGGATTAGAGTAGTGCAGAAGTTGTCATATGCTGAGACAGTGAAGAACGTAGAGGAAGATGCGTGAGTGGTCTAAGGCACTGCATCGCAGTGCTAGCTGTGCCACTAGAGATCCTGGTTCGAATCCAGGCTCTGTCGCAGCCGGCCACGACCGGGAGACTCATGGGCAGCGCACAATTGGCCTAGCGTTGTCCAGGGTAGGGGAGGGAATGGCCGGCAGGTTGATAGAGCTCAGTTGATAGAGCATGGCGTTTGCAACGCCAGGGTTGTGGGTTCATTTCCCACGGGGGACCAGTATTTTAAAAAAAAAGTATATATATATATATGTATTCACTAACTGTAAGTCGCTCTGGATAAGAGCGTCTGCTAAATGACTAAAATGTAAATGTAAATGTAAGATGGGTCAAGGGGGAGGGATCCTGAGAGGAGTGGTGTGAGTAGTAGATCTGTACCAGTACAAGGAATATGCCAACAAGTGATATATGCTTCAGTAAGATTGGATTTTTAGCATTTATAGCAATGGTTATCAACTGTACTGCAGCGATGGAACGTAAATCGCAGAAAATTGAGGTTGTGGTGACAGCTGCAGAGAGGTATTTGGGTGTGCGAGACTTGACATCAGACGAGTTACAGGGTGTGTTAAGTGGTGGAGTCCCATCCTTTCAGGTTGTTGACCTGAGGTAGGACTAAATAGATTTAAATAGTGGAGTAAGGTCGTGTAGGGTATTTCATTTTTTTAATAATATTTTTTAAAGAAAAGTATAAGGGAGTGGTACTCCAGTCTAGTAGGTGGCGGTAATGCAATATTTATTGGATGCCAACCGCCGTTAAAGCTCATCAAATAAGAAGAAGAGTTGTGTATATTACGCAGAGCCCTCAACAGGCGCCATTTTCAACCAGCACCCAACGATATTCAACTGACACCGCTCTCTTGGGCGAAATGGCAGTTTAACGGCTTGCGGCGGTCCTAGCAGCAGCAAATCCAACAGTGCATCAACCCAGTGCACTGCTTCAACTTCATATTTGTCAAAATGACGTAAGTGTATATTTGTAAGCAAGTGGCTAACTAACGTGAATCCGTGACAGCTCAATGACGTCAACGAGCTCTAACCTCAATTTGTGAAACTATTAGCTAATTGCCTGCTTATGTTGTGTAGCGAAGTATTTTATAAATACATATAGTTTATACTAATAACTTGCCATAAGGTCGCCATTCGCCAGACAAATCCTTGGAATGACATTGGATACAGACATCACGAGTCAAATCAGAGAATGTTACGTTGTATCTCTTTCGGGCTAAATGGTCAGTGAGCTGTTAACGTTCCATAATAACAGCGCGCGATATTGTCACCAAATTGCTAAAAAATAAAATAATAAAGGTGCTAAGATTTTATGGCGTTTTCCAGGAATGCCAACGTGGCAAACAAAATGGTTCGTGATCTTTTTCGAACAAAATGGCGATATAATCAGTGTTTTTTAAGGCGGGAGGGTGAACACAAGTGTGGCTGTTCATTCGATAGACACACTTCCATTCTGACGATGGTTGCTGTGGAAACTGACTGACCTCATTTGGCGCCTGTGTGAGTCACAAGACAAAGGCAGGGAGGGTATTCAGTGCCAGTGGAAGGAGGTGCATTGTGCACAAAACACATTATAGATATAAACATAAGCTTAGACTTAATGTTTTTCCCACCCAATTAAAAATGTGTGCAGCCAAATATTACTTTACTCAATCGCAACATAACATGGCTGACCATTACATAATATAAAATCAACATGAAGGAGATAAAGGCAATTTGCCTACATTATGAGCTACGGTTTATTTTATTACATGAACTCACCATGTCTTCTGGCGTCTCTTTCCCAGGTCCCTTGTGGAAACCCTCAGCACTGCTGTAGTTGACAGCATAAAAGAACCGCTCGACCTCTTACTGCTGTA